ACTACCTCGAGCTGAGTGACGTAGACGATTTCTTAAAATGAAAGTGTCAATGACACTGTAGCTCACCACAAAAAAAGGACACAAATGAGTGAGTAAGAAGAAGTCAGTTTTAATTTAGCAACCATCGACGTACATTATAGAAACGATTTCCATCTGTATATCGCAATAATAATTTATAAACCAAAATAAATCACAATTTGTGACTGTAGATGGCACTACACCCGCTTTGTAGCGATGGCGTTCGAAATAAACAGGTTATGCTGTGTTCCGACATGTTTTGTAAATCTTTACTCTAATATAGACGTTTTATCGGCAAGGTGGAGAGGAAATACCAATTTTGCATTAAAGATATTGTCAATGAAATCTTGTAAAACGAACCAGACGAGTGCGACACCACACTGTTTGTGTTTATATAATATGCTATATAATTGCCAAACCCTACCTAATTTGCATAATTTTTTTTTAAATATCAAAACCCCTAGCCCTTATTCATTCACATACCAAAAAATGAGCAAAATCCGTTGAAACTGAACTGACTAATGGCAATTCCCATTTTTGCCAAAAAATCGCCGTGGCTCGAATGTACGTCGACTGGCGTGCTTCAAAATAGGACGTTCAATATGAGAGCATAGCAGTAACAACTACACCCCATTTCAAACATGTGGGTCAAACGGTTCCTGAGTTATCGTTGACCGAAACCAAATGTTGACGGACGGACGAACGGACGTACGACGGACGACGACCCATGGCAATAGCTCAGCTTGACGATGTCAAGGTGAGCTAAAAATCAATAGTAAATATTAGTTGAAAATATACATCAACACTTGACTAGATTAATCAATTACCACACAAATCTTTTAGTTTGAATATTTCATAGTTTATTTGACTGTGATTTTACTAGGTAGTCTAAATACTGTTTGCATAATGAAAAAATTGTTAATTTATGTACTACATCGCCCAGAACTGCGAGAAATGTTTATTTGTATAATATCAGTTTAAACATATAGAAAATGCCACCAGAGAACAGGACAGAAACAAATTATGGCTGGCGGAAAGGCAAAAGAGGCTTACAGCTTCAAATTTTGGTAGAATTTGCAAGGCTACTAGCAGAACTGATATGGACAAACTTGCTAGGTCTTTAATCCATTGTGCATGGGAGAAGGTTCAAATCAGTGGCAGCAGAACAGTTTGAAAAACTGTTTACTGTCAAGAGTCATGAGTGTGGACTCTTTGTTTACAAAGAGCACCCAGTTCTTGCAGCATCACCAGATCGGATAATGAATAGTGATACATTACTTGAAATCAAATGCCCTTACGCAAGCAGAGATAAAGTTATTCACCATATTACTGTACCCTACCTTGAGAAATTCGACGATGGGTTTAGACTTAACCCTAATCATGATTACTACTATCAAGTCCAGAGACAGTTACCTTGCACCAATATGAAACGATGTCACTTTGTCATTTACACCGTTAAAGATCTTAAATGTATAGAAATGATGCGTATAGAATGTAGCGAGATGATGCTTTCGTCCATGTTATGGTGAACAAACTTATCAACTTCTACAATAATTATTTTAGAGCTGCCATAGTGAACAGGCTTATGTACTCAGATTACTTTGAAATATTCTAAAATTACTTGGATAAAGTCAACATAATACAAGAATGTAATTACATAATGTAATGCTAGAGATCGTACTTTAAAGTACCGTGGTACTGGGAAGTAACTACTTGCATATGATCAGACAAGGTTGCAGTAAAATTCGACTACAGTGTGGCCCCACTATAACGCAATCACTGAGGTCCATAAAATGTATAAATCAGCATATGACATATTCCATATAAATGTGGCAGTACTGTGCCAAAATTTATGTTTGTGTTTAGTTGCATCTGATCGGTATAGAGGGCAGCACCTCTCAGTGTTCTAGTTTCGCACTCGGTCCTAATATTCTGAGAAACGAGGCAGCGTGGTTGTGGGAATGGCGCCAGCTTTTTTATTCTTGTCCGAAGGTGCTAGCCGCTTTGTGTACTAAATAAATACATCCCTTATATATGTAATCTGGTCTTCTGTAGTCTGGTTACATAAATGGTGGCAGCGGTGGGATAGTGTTGTTACAAAGCGGCTAGCTGGACTGAGGAATTATGGCAGAAGTTGAGGCCCTGCGTCTGGAGCTACAACAGCTACGTGCTAGACTGGATGAGGCTGATCCCCCACAACAGCCGCCAGCGCCAGCGGTGAGAGTGGTGTATGCCCATCGCAAGCTACCTACCTTCGAGGTGGTAACTATAACTTTGGTGTTTGTGAAAAGACCGTTTCAAACATATTTGTGACCTGGATTAATTTCATGTACTGTAAGTGGCAAAAACTGAACTTATGGCCAAGCAGGGATTGAGTTAGATTCTACAACCCCACCGATTTTAAGAGGTTGTACCCTTCAACACGAATCATCCTAGATGGTGTGGAGTTTCCCATCCAGAAGCCAAAAAACCCTAGGGCACAACAAATAACATATTCTACTTACAAGAATAGAAACACACTGAAGTCTGTTCCTGGCATTACTCCTGGGGGACTGGTAAGCTTCACTTAAGACTTAACCCTAATCATGATTACTACTATCAAGTCCAGAGACAGTTACCTTGCACCAATATGAAACACAAGGAAGACTACACCGACTTCAACCATCACCCAACCTCTCAGCATCAGCGATGATGACGAGGGGGCCGACATACTTAAGAAGCTGCAACACCAGCAGGTCGAATCTGGCAAGATCCAGGAATGAATAGCAACTATGCTGGATGCCAACCAGCAAACTGCTATGGCGCAATTCGGGAGCTTCATGGGCAGATTGGGGATGCAGATTGACAAACGTTTAGTCAATGGGTTCTACCGCGACGCTCTGGACCTGACGATTAACGCGATAGAGGTTACCAAGTCAACAGATCCTCCCTTGCTGTCACTAGAAACGTTGCGCCAAAAGCTCTTCCTAAATGCTCTGCATAAGAAGAAAGCAGCTGTACAGAGAAAAGTTGACCACAGGCGGCTCCCTCCCACCTCCTCAGCTGCGAAGTACCACTGTCTCAGACTGTACCATCAGGTACAAGAGTGGCTATTTAACACTCTTGACCCCTCAGAATATGGGTGGGTTCTGAACTCCGATGGCAAGTATGGACCCCTCTACACAGACAAGGCAGTGGCACCTCCTAATTTGCTCAGATCCATTAGCTGTGGGTGTAAAACCAACTGCTCTTCAAAGCGATGTGCCTGCAAGCAGCTTGACCTCCAGTGTACTGATTTCTGTGGCTGCCACACTGTAAGTGTAACCGGCAACCAGGAAACCGGAGATGATGAGGAAGATCAAGGATTGGTAGGGGACGCCGAAGAAGATGTCCCAGTAGATTGACTTTTCCAATTTATCGACTAAACTTGCTGTACTATAAGTTATAATGTTGTACTAATTATTGTACTATAACTTATGATATATAGGACTATTTTGATAGCTTCGGTCGATTTTGGGACATGCTGTAAGTTAATTTTTTGTACAGTGCATTAGACTTGTTACTCTTCCTGGACGATTGTGATACAATAGTTCTGTTAAAGGACAAATTATATTCTATTGTTTGTATTCAATCAAATCCTGTGTATGATTCTTTATCGAGTATCTTCGGGTTGTTGAGTTCGTAAAGCTTCATAATCAATACTTGTTTAAATTTGCTTGTTGATGCAGATTACAAATTCATCTGGGCAGATGTCGGTGTTAAGTATTTTCAATGTAATAATTACAAAACATAATCATTGATAAATATTTCTTGCATTAAACACATTGAAATGTTGTATTTTAAGGTATGGGATCAGCATCAGACGCTCAGATTTACAATGACTGTGAGCTGAAGGAATGCGGTGAAGCTGGTACCATAGGTTTCCCTGACCCAGAGCCTCTCCCCAACGACACCCAGGATGTGCCCTATTTCTGGATCGGCGACAATGCCTTCGCCCTACGAACGACCATGATGAAGCCGTACGGCCAACGGGGTTTGACGAAGGAGGAAAGGATCTTCAACTACAGGCTTTCCCGAAGCAGGAGAGTAGCAGAAAATGCATTTGGCATCCTGGCAAACCGATTCCAGGTTCTACTGACTACCATGCAGCATGGGCCCTCCACCGTCAAGCTCATCGTCACCACGTGCATGGTCCTGCACAACCTGATGAGGACCCGGTACCCACGGCTCCAAAACCAGCAGCTTGACCGTGCAGAGAATGAGAACCGCAATTTCGTCCCAGGAGAATGGAGAGAGGGCCGTAACTTGGAGGACACCAAGAAAGTGAGTGGCATGTTTGAATTGTAGAATTATAACATTTCATATGTCTATTGTAATATCAATGTGTGTGTTTGAATGAAAATGAACGCTTGTTTTGTTTAATTTATGATAAAAATGAAATGCATCAATTCCCAAGTAATGACATAAGATAATTGAGGGTCTACTATACTTATATCATTACTTGTCAATTGATAAGTGGTTGGATAATGAATGGGATACTGTACATATGAATAGATATTTTTTTTAATACTTAAACATGGATAACTAAATAAAATGATAGACACAAAATTAAGGTTTGACGAAACTTTTATTAAACTTCAAATGATCCACTGATCAAATGATCAACAATAACTTTTATTAAACTTCAAATGATCCACTGATCAAATGATCAACAATAACTTTTATTAAACTTCAAATGATCAACTGATCAAATAATCAACAATAACTTTTATTTAACTTCAAAT